TCAAAAAGATCCAAGTTTTAACCCCAGATCCCCACTTACTAGTTGCAGGATCTTGAACAGGTAATAAAACCTGTATAGGCCAGGCACAGTGGCACTTTGCACTTTGGGAGGCCGAGGCAGGTGGATCACTTGACCCCGGGAGTTCGAGACTAGCCTGGGCGACGTGGCAAAACCCCATCTCTTCCAAAAATACAAAAATTAGCCAGACATGTTGGTGCTTGCCTGTAGTCCCAGCTATTCTGGAGGCTGAGGTGGAAGGATCACTTGAGCCCGGGAAGGGGAAGGCCGCGGTGAGCTGAGATGACACCACTGCACCCCAGCCTGGGTGACAGAGTGAGACCCTGTCTCAGAATAAATAAATAATGTACAGCAAAATGCACAGACCTTAACTGTATAGTTAGATCAGTTTTGACACATGCATACACGTATGTAACTCACACCCTCTCAAGATATAGAATATTCTCATCACCCCAGAAAGTTCTCTCATGTCCCTTTCTGGTGAATCCCCCGGAGGCAAGTAGTAATCTGATTTCTGTCACCATGGATTAGTTTTGCCAATTCTGGACCTTCATCTAAATGGAATTATACAGTATTTACTCATGTGTTTGACTTCTTTTTACTCAATGTAATGTCTGAGATTTACCCATTTTGTTTCCTTTGTCATTAATTAGTTCCTTTTTATTGCTGAGTAGTAGTACACTGTGTGAATGTACTACAGTTTGTTTATTCTTCTGTTAGTAGTTATCTGGGCTGCTTCCAGATTTTGGCTATCTGGTCCCGAGTAGAAACTACTAGGGACATGCTTGTACAAGGCTTTTTGTGGACATAGTTTTCATTGCTGTTAAGAAGTACCTAAAAGTAGAATTGCAACTGCTGGAACATGGATATTATATGCTTCTCGATACAATATCCTGAGAAAGTCACATCATCACTATAATATCCTGAGAAAGACACAACAAAGGCTTCTGACTGAGAATACCTAATCTGAATCTGGTCATCATGATACATTAGACAAATCTCACATAAGAACTATACTATCTAAAAAGAAAAGGGACTATAGCCTTCAAAAATGTTAGTGCTGCATAAAATAAAGCTCCAGAACTGTTCCAAGTTAAATGATACTGAATAGACATGACAAATGCAGGACATGGTCATAGATTTAATTCCGTATTAGAGAATGGAATTCTAAAAAAGACATTATTTGATTAATTGACAAAATTGCAATATGGACAGTAAATTTTTGTGTCAATGTAACACTTATTGAAGTTGATAGCTGTATTGTAGTTATTCAAGAGAATATCCCTATTCTGTGGAAATAGATATCACAGTATTTTAGAGGTAAATTACTGGGAGAGAGGAAACAGAGGGAGAGAGGGAGGATGAGTGAGTGAGCATGGGCAAATGACAAATAATGGAACAAATTAAGTAAAATATTAACAATGGGTTGATACAGCTAAGGCATTTGTAGATTTTTTTTTTGTACTATGCTGCCTACTCTTCTGAAATTTGAAACTATTTCCAAATAAAATATTTAAAAACCGGGTTTGAATTTTCTATGTGTGAGATGTTCATAGATCCATTCAAGTTTATTTGTTATCAGTCTGTTATCAGTTTTTTCCATTCCTTATGGCAGTTTTGCTGTTTTTCTAGAAACGTATCCATTTCTCCTGTTGCCAAATATATTGTTATATATAATTTATAATATTTTATAATTTTAAAAATGTTTTCTCTGGTTATCTTATCTTTTTATTCCATATTTTGTTAATTTCCATTACTATCTTCCATTTATTGATTTTGCCAGAAGTTTGTCTAATACTTTCTTCAAAGAACCGACTTTTGATTTTCTTAATTTTCTTTGCTGTTTTTGTTCTCTATTTTAGCAGTGCCTGTCCATATATCCTTCCTTGTTTCTTTGCATTTGTACTGTTCTCTATCTTTTTGAGTTGAATGATTAGCTCTTCTGTTTTCAGCATTTGTCTTCATATATTCAGAAGCATACTTTTCCTGCTATTGTCTCATCTACATCCCACCAATTTTGATTGGTAGTCTTCTGCTGATTATTTCATAATGTTGTTTCCTCTTTAACCTAAGGATTGTTTTGCTACATATTTCTTGCTTCCAGGCTTGGGATATTGTTAGCTGTCTTTTTGTTATTTCAATTTTGTTGCAGCCTGGTTGGGGAATAGAATCTTTTAGAGCTTGAGTTTTTGGAATTTGAGGCTTCTTTTGAGGCTTCAGTTTATGATTGGTATTTGGGAAATATTCCACGTGTCCTCGAGAAGAATGTTTTAATTTGTATTTGGTATAAAATTCTGTATCTTTGATTGAGCTTCTTACATGGAATATAAATATCATTTTGTCCACTTAATCTGTTATTTTGTGAGGTAATTTAAAATAGGCCACCATAATTTTTGATTATTCTCTTTCCACCTGTAGCTTTGCCCGTGGTTGTAGTGTATTTTCTACATTGTTAGGTGCATATATATTTGTAATTCTTTCCTCTTTTTACTCATATATAATAAATAGCTGTCTTAATGACATAATGTTTTCCATCTTGTTTGGTTTCTGTGTTAATTAAAATGGCTGCTTTGTTGTTTTCATATTTTCTTAAAACTATATGTACTTACTCAAATTTTTAAATGAGTTGAAAATTACCCCTAATGTTTCCTAACAGGGCCCTGTATCTAACATAATAATTGGTACTTACTGGGTAATCTTACATGCATGTAAAGTTTCTTCATTAAAACTCAGAGGAAAACAATTCATTTGAAAGTGACAGACTCCAGTTTAGTTTTATTAGTCAAGCTTAATAATTGCAGACTCCTTCTCTGCGATTATTAAGCTTGGCTCATTTGCATATTAGCATATTCTTTATCGCACATTAATGTCTTTCTAGAATTCATTATTGCATTATTTTGCTAGATTTATTTGATAGTATGATAAAAACAAAAAGATAGCTGGTTCAGTAATTCTGTGCTAGGCAAATATAAAAAGCTGTCATTGCAAGCCATTGGATATCCATTTTAAAAAGATGGTTTTTTTCAATCACTTTCACATTAAAGAATGCTTTCTTCCGTAATGAAATCTCCCTTGGCACAATAAAGAATGTTTTCCACTTTCTTAATGAAATCTTCCTTGGCTCTTCAGTTGCTATATCCTTTAGAAAAATTTTCCTGAGTCCCTCTCCTATTCTTTTTAGTAAGGATGAATTGACTTCTCTTTTACCCTAACACTTAGCCATTATTTTTTGAAACACATAGTTGTAACATACACCCTTAAGATGGCAGGATGCCTAGAAGTATAAAAGACTGTACGTTGCCACAAGAAAAACTTTTCACCACACATTCAAGTTGAAAACCTTCCTTCAAGGAAAAAATAGAAATGCAATTTCTAAAATGAAAGCAGTAGGTTTAAGAAATCTCCAAAGTCTTTAAACCTAGGCATTCCATTTCTTCTGGTGGTATTTGGGTGCTCTGATAAACTAACCTAGACTGGTTGCCTTCTATTCCTTGTTTACAGCTATCTTCCTGGGATTTCTCTTTCTAGTCACCCTGGGGGTTTCCTTTGCCTCTGTTATCTCAGTATCATATTGCTGTAATTACTGTAGTTTCATATAGATCTAGTCCCCTCATATCAGAATATTCTTGACTATTTCTTGACTATTTCTGGCTTACTTTTTATACAAAAAGTCTCCCTTTTTACCACCTCAGTATGTGGTTTTCAGACTGCTCCTATTATTTTGAATTGTGAAATTGACACTTTTTCCAAGTAAAAAGATTGTCAAATATTGGCAGTTTCAAGCATTTCTACTTACTAGAAGATTTCTTGCCAAGTTTCTATCTGGGCACTTTATTGTTTCTATTGTAAATGAGTACTTGTTATGGTTTGAGAGTGTTGATTTGCTTCTTAATTTTATACTTGGGAATATAATTTTTATATCTGGGAATATAATTTTTATACCTGTTCTTTTAACAGGTGATTCTTTTGAATTTTCCATTTATATAAACTCGTCTGCAATTAATGCAGATACCCTCATTATTTGGAACTACAGATAATTTTACTGTCTTTTCCATTTTTATGCCTCTTTTATCTTCGTGTTTTGTAATGCTAATGAAAATGGACATTCTTGTCTTATTTCAGATCTATATAGGTGTCTTTTTAGGTTTCCTCACTATGTATAGTACTGACTTTTAGTTTTATGTATTACATATGTATTTTCCATGTTAAATATATAATTATTCCTATTTCATTATTGATTCTTGAAACATTGATGGATATATAAGTTTATCAGATGTTTTTCAGTAGCTGTGGATATAATCGTAAGATATTTTTCCTTGATATTTTTGCGTAGCAAATCAAGTTGATTTTATTATATTAGACCAATTTTGAATGTCAGAGCTGAACTCTACTTGATAATAATTGTGGTACATTTCTCCTTTGGTATGTTCCTAGAGACTTTCTTTTTTATTGTTTTCTTGGTAAGTTTTGCATGTTATTTCATAAGTACTATTCACCTCTAGTATTCATTTATGTGTGTGCTATTTCTGTTAGTTTTTGATATCACTGTTAGGTTCTCTATGCAAAAATAATTTGGAAGCTTCTAGGCTTTTAAACAGTTGAGGTAACTTTAGGATTATCTGTTCTTAAATATTTGTTAGAATTTATAAGAACTGTTGCTTTCCGAGGAGGTTAGCTATTTGACAGCTTTCTCTGTTCCTTGTGTCATAATGATCAGATACTGCTTCTGGTGAAGACTTTCCTGTTGTGCCTTCATGGAATTCGTAATGTCTTACTTGGAATGCTGATAATAATGTTTATGTTTTTCTTATGCATATTGATTTTCATCATTAAATTGTTAAAAGGTATTAGGATAGGAACCATCTGTCTGTTTATTGCCTCAAATTCTAGCCCATACAGAAATACGTTGACTTAACAACTCTTCTTCTTTCTTTTTCTTTCTCTTTTTCTGTTTGTCGCTGGTGGTGGTGGGTGTTTTACAGGCTTCCCAGCTGGCGTGTATGTTGTAAAGAGAGTTCTTCAGCTTCAGCGTCATCGTATTACTCTCAAGATGACAACTGTGCGCTAGAAAATGAAGATGTACAATTCCCGAAAAAGGTGCCTTAAATAAAGTTAACATTATAATTTGTGTGTCAGCTTTCCGAGAGTGTCTGAAAACATTCAAAATAAAATAATTTCAAAAATGCTGTGCCATAATTTTTGGTGGAGATTTGTATTTTTCTTTGCTATTACTCAGGTAATTCTTACATTCTGATGGCTCAGAGATATTTGTATGTTTATTCTTGTTGCTTGTATTTGGAATTTTGTAACATCCTTAGTCCTACAGTATAGGGTAGTGCATGTTCAGAGAGCTGAAAACGAGTGATTTGTTTTTAATGATCTATAATAATTAGAGTTTTTAAAGAAATCCCAATTTTGCAAATTAAAAACTATTAGAAATGAGTATTCCAGGGAGAATCTACAGTTAGTGGCTTTGTAGTTTGTTTTATGTAATTAGGTGCAGTAAATATAAAGACTCCAAAAAACCTCATGATCTTAAAACATGTTATTTTACCATTTTAAATGATAAATGGTGAGTATTGACTTGATTTGGCTTTTGCCTTTAACTTCAGTGTATTTATTTAAAATTACTGAAATAATTTATATTGATATAAAATATTTATTATTTATGTCTCATTCCTTTCCCCAAAGGAACAACAGTTTACTATCTCTTGTGAAAATGTTCGGACCTTGTTCTGTGGGTATAAATAACACCTTTATATATGCCCACAAATTAATATTTTTATTTCTATGAAAATATCATGTATATATATATATATTACAAATTGACATCCCCCTTTTCCTCAGTGATAGCTCATATATCATCTTTTCATGTTGATATATTCTGAATGGCTGCATTTTAATCTTGTTATACAGACATGTTATTTATCAATTGTTTCTTTATTGACAAACTTTTGCATTTTGTTCCCTGCCATGTGTGCACACGTGTGTGTGTGTGTGTTTCAACACATATTTACAATTACATACTTGAGGGTTTTCTTTTGCATATTTAGAGTGGATTATTTAAATTTAAGTTATGTTGGATATATTTCTGGGATGGAGCATTTAAAATTTGAAGACTTGCCACGTATCTCCAAAAAAACTATAATTTTATATTTTCACCCACACAGCATGTAAGATTTTGATTTAATCCCCTTTTTGATGAAGCATTTTGCAAACAAATGTCATAAAAATGAATTTAAGCAGAGCATTAAGGGGGAAAGCATATTCTTTCAGCAAACATTTAGATACCTAGTATGAGCTATATAGACTCAGGTAAACAAAGATTGAATATGAACTTTTATGAAAGTTACACTCTAGAAGGCATAAAGGTATTAGAAATTCTAACTCGAATGTATGTCAAAAAAGAGATGAAAGAAAGAGCTTTATGTACCTTCATTTGTCAGATATTTATTGGAGTTTTACTAGGTGCTTAAAACAGTGCTGGATGGTAAGACTAAAATGCTTATTAAGAAATCAAATGAAGTTGTTGAACTGGTGTATTGCACATTTTAAGTGTTGTAGCAATGAGGGGATTCGAGGAAATAGACAATAATCCTGTAAACAAATGAAATTAATTAGAGTCAAATACACAAGTCAATTTTTTGGTTTTAAAGTATGGAAAGAAATGGTCTTCATATTGCTTTATAACTTTTGTAAAACAGTTTTATCAGGTGATCTTTTTTGTTGTTGTTTGTTATATAGGATGAAAGAGAAGGACCTATCAATGCTGAATCATTGGGAAAATCAGGTTCAAATTTACCTGTTTCTCCAGAAGAACATAAATTAAAAGATGACTCTATTGTGGATGTACAAGTAAGCTATGTTGCTTTGATTTTTAATAATATGTCATTTCAAACTACTTCACAAGGTTGAAAACCTCTGTTCGGTCACCATATTGTGTGTGTCTTGTTAGTTTTTTCACTTTGAGGTACTCTGTAACTGGACTTAAGATTGCTTACCTGCTAATAGTACTACTTTTGAGAACATGTATAATTACAGATAATAATAATAATAAATGTGACTAGTCTCTTGGTAGTAAAGGTTTGAGTGTAAATCCTAGTTTCTTCCTCGGTTCTATTTTGGTTCATTATGATGTATCTTGTCTCTTCAGATTTTCAGTTGTTAGGAAATTTCTTTCTAACCTGAATCACTTGGAACAAAAGGAAGTATTTTTATGTAGAACTCGAAGTATTTTGATACCAAGATTTCTACTTATTATGGGTATGAATAGGTTAAAATATGTTTTTTCCCTCTCTTATATTACATTCTGAATATTGTTTATTTTGTGCACCAGACTTTATGAAAAATACTAAAAACTAGTATATATACACCATAAACTGATCAGAATGCTGAGGTATCTGGAAGCCGTTTAACATCAGTAATGGCTGAAGGAACTGGGGATATTTGATTGTCTAGAATATGTATACCATAAACTGATCAGAATGCTAATGCTGAGGTATCTGGAAGCCATTTAATATCAGTAATGGCTGAAGGAACTGGGGATGTTTGATCTGGAGGCAGAAGGACTAAGGAAAAACTAAAATCTCGAATATTAAAAAAAGAACACACATTTTAACTCAGAATGAGGGAGAATTCTTTCTTTTTAAAAAAATACAGCCTTGGCTATTCTTTTTTTTCGTTTTTTATTTTTTAACCTTGCACTTTTTGCAAGAGCCAGGGCTATTTTATAACTTACTGAGTTATCTAAAGCGATAGAATTAGTTTCATTTTATTGGATTCTGCAAGACATTTGTCAAGGGTTTATGCATAGGAGTAAGAGAAAAGTGATACTTGTAGCCCTTACAATTGTATGACTATCCTGAACACTCCTACCATTATTCATAAAAATTTTATTATGATGTAGTTGTGTTCAGATACTTCCAAATGCTTACCATGTCTTCTATACCTATATTGTTCATTACAGTAGCCACTAGCCACATGTGGCCATTAAGCACTTGAAATGTGGCTAGTCCAAATTGAAATTTACTGTTAGCATAAAATACACATCGGATTTTGAAGACTTAATTAAAAAATAGCATGTAGGCCGGGCACAGTGGATCACCTGAGGTCAGGAGTTCGAGACCAGCCTGGCCAGCATGGTGAAACCCTGTCTCTACCAAAAATACAAAAATTAGCCGGGTATGGTGGCGCATGTCTGTAGTCTCAGCTACTCAGGAGGCTCAGGCAGGAGAGTCGCTTGAACTCAAGAGACGGAAGTTGCAGTGAGCCGAGATCACGCCACTGCACTCCAGCCTGGGTGACAGAGTGAGACTCTTGTCTCAAAAAAAAAAAAGCATGTAAAGTATCTCACTAATTTTTAAAGTATGAATACACGTTCATATCATAATATAGTATTTGCTAATAAGGCAGTAGTCCTTTTCTCAAGGCCTCCATCATAAAAATGCAGACGACTATTTATATTTTTTTGTGAATTTCTCAGTATAAATAATTCCCCAAATGATCATACTTTATATTTTCTGGACTACATGCCTTGAGGTTTTTTTCTGCTCTTGTACTGGCCCTTCTTTTCTTTAAGGCCTACCTCTTCTAATTCATAATAGTCCTTAGTTTCTTTTTCCTTGAGCTGAGCATGATATTTGTACCTCTCACTTGATATTCATTTATTGAAGCATTTAAACACCTACCGTGTGCTAGGTACTGTGCTAGACACTGGGAATATGAAGATCAAGAGAACATAGTTCTTATTCAGGACATTTATGGTATACTTGAAGAAGAGAGGGAGACATGAATAATGGCAATTGAGTTGTTACAGATACAGTGATAAAAGTGTACAGAGAACAGTGGAGGCATAGAGGAAAGGGAGTAGTTAATTCTGTTTAGGGTTGGTCTTGGAAGTGGAGGTGCTGATAGAGGTTTTCATATATGAACAGGTGATAGGTAGATTTCACATTGTGTTTTGGAGGACTGAAAGGCCCAGGACATTGGAGACTGAAGGAGCAGCAAGAATCATTTATTGCTTCCTGGTGTTGTTACTTGAACATATATTGTTGCTTATTGATACACATTATTTCTTAAACTGCTCAGGGTCAAGAACTATGTATTGTACTGTTTTGTACTTATCCATAGGGTTTCTTTGTTGCTACTAGCGTTCATCAATTAGAGAAGACAGAAATCTTTGTAGCTCCTGATGCAAAGTAGGAAATAGGTAGGGAGAAAGTTCTTTCCTAGTTTATGAAATGCCATGAAAAAATGTGTAGGGCCTGTATTTTCATATGAAATATATTCCTTAGGGTGGTGATATTGGAAGAAAGGATTTTTATAAAAGTACTTTTTTAGTGAACATTTTTTATATTGTCATTTTTCAGAAATACTTTCCGTAAATGCCTATTCTGCTAAAGAGATAATATATTAATCTCAACATTTAATTTAGTTGACTTGTTTTTTTTAAACAGAATACAGAGTCAAAAAAGTTAAGTCCACCCGTGGTGGAGACACTCCCTACAGTTGATTTGCATGAAGAGTCTTCCAGTGCAGTTGTGGACAGTGAAACTGTTGAAAATATTTCCAGCTCATCTACCTCAGAAATCACTCCAATCTCAAAGCTTGAGTAAGTCATTACAAAAAACAAACACAAAAAAGAATCTCCTTAGTTAGTGATAGAAAGATTTCTTTAAAAGATAAAGCAGCTTGCTACTCAAGTTTAAAGTTTAGGCTATATAGCAGACCTAAATTAAATTACAGTTACTGTGTTTTGTGTGCATGTGTGTGCATGCCTTTGTGTGTTTTGAATGTAATGATTTTATAACAAGTTTATTTAGCTAACTAACTCAATGAAGTTGATAGATCCCAAGTGTGAAATTTCTATATAGTCTAAGCAAAGTAAGGTTCTACTTAGGAAACAGTGCTTATTTGAATTATCTTCCCTGTAATTATCAACTCAAATGTCAGGTTGTTCATTTCCATTAAGTATCACTGCCATTTCATTCATTTTTATGTCTTCGTGTGAATTGCTACCTTTTTCAAACTTGATAATAAATATTCAGAGTGTTTGGGTTTAAGTGATGCTTAAATTAGAAAATTTGTTAGGTACTTCTCCTAGCTCCTTCCTGCAACAGTCCAAAGAACAAAACGAAACGTCCTTCTCTTAATACTGCATAAGCATTTCCTTTTTCAAATGAGTTAATATAAATAAAGTGCAAGAAGAATAACTGGTACATAGGATAAATGTGTCTGTTAATATCACCCTTGCTTCTCAAGAATGTAAGGGCCTGGGTTGAAGGAGTTGCACAAGGTGTTATGGTTACCAGCTAGGAGCATGTCTCAGTACGGTCCAGGGAACAGAAGACATGTTGAGAAATAATGATAGTATTTTAACTTTAATGATAGTATTTTAAATTTAAATGATTCCGAAGGAACTTAAGGCTAGATACTACATATCTGAACAGTGAATTCTATACTCCCATTATATTAAACATGACTGATTAATGAAATGGAGGTGAGGCAGGGAAAAATAGGAAGGTTTATATTTTAAAAATGAAATTCTAAGAACACCTTAAAATTTTAGTGAGATGTCTTGAGATAATGACTTTTGAAGGATGCCATAAGTAACAACTTTAATGCTGGTAGAATTAATATAGTAACATGGAAATTAAACTTTAGAGAAGATACAGTGAGAATAAGTAATTTTTAAAAATCTTATTTTCGATACGACCAAATATTAACCTCTAATATTTTAATATTTGGTAGGTAGTTATTTAGAAGCTGAGGACAATAACAGATCAAGTCAGCAATTGACTTGACATGATTTAAAATTTTCTTTCTTTGGTTTACATTATGTTTTGGAAATCACTAATAGTGTTTTTAATGTGTATTACCTCAAGTTAATTTAATTACCAGATTATGTTTCTTGTTTCTTTTTTTAGTGAAATAGAAAAATCTGGTACTATTCCTGTAGCCAAACCAAGTGAAACCGAGCAGTCTGAAACTGATTGTGATGTTGGTGAGGCCCTTGATGCTAGTGCTCCAATTGAACAACCTTCCTTTGTCAGTCCACCTGACAGGTGGGTAGGAGCAGTTGTTTGTCCTTCTTAATGATTCTGTAATAACAGCAGTGTCCTGTTTGAATAGACTTGGTGTATGTTAAATTCCACTTTGAGAGAAAGCTGATCTCTCTGTGTTTCTTCCTTGGTTTACTTTGTACATGAGTTATAAGAATTGAGATTGTATAGAATTTGTTATCCAGTAAAATCTGTTTATTTAATATATCTTTTGGTTTTAAATAGCCTTGTTGGCCAGCATATAGAAAATGTATCATCTTCACATGGTAAAGGAAAGATAACAAAATCAGAATTTGAATCAAAAGTTTCAGCAAGTGAACAGGATGGTGGTGATCAAAAATCTGCATTGAATGCTTCAGATAATGTAAAAAATGAGGTAAGTATATAACTTGCACTATCTCTTACTTCTTTATGTAATGCATTTTTGTTATTAGCTAAGCTCATAATAATTTGCTAACTATATTTTTTGTAAAATCAGGGAGATGAAGTAGACAACAACATGTGGAACTAACAGGAACTGTGCTCTCTGAGAGCAAGTGATTCTGTCTCCAGTATAGTGTTTATTACATAAAGTTGTTTCAAGCATGAACTCTCCTTGGTTATATATTATTAAATGATTTTGTGCCACGCACAGCTGTTTGATACCAGATACATAAAGTCCTTATTTAATCAGCTTCTTAGAAAGCTATCTAGAAGAAGATATGCCTAATTACATTTAATTATCTTCAGAATGTACGAGGTTAAATTTAGGCTCTTCAATCAGAACTATTTTAATGGAACATTTTACCTTTCATTATTTGTATGCAAAATACAACCAGACCACCTTATATTTTAGAGTGTGATTCTTATAATTAAGACAGAGCTTATCACAGTGAAACAGTTTTACTTTCTTTTCTCCTTCTGAGTTGTACCTTGACTTCATGTACTGTAGAATTTCTTGAAGTAGTATCAACACAGCAATTTAAACTTCCCTCAGGTAAGCAATGACTAAGTTGTAGAGGTGAAGTATATTCCATAAACTTAACAAAAACAAAAATAAATAGGGTCCAAGGGTAGTTCAGTGTGCTGACTACCACATCCATATTTATTCCTCTTTAATTTGGGATCTTTTGTTCTCTGCTTTCTTTTTCACGTATTTTCAGTGAATCTTCACTTACGACTAACTAAACTTCATTCTGGAGACTTTCACTATCATGGGACCAACTGTTTTGATGATGCTTCTTATGGGAGCTCAGCATTTCATACATCTTGAAGGAACTACTTTTCTCAATGATACCAAATTACGTATATGTTAAAGTTTAGTTGTCAGATATCACATCCATGAATAAAATTAGACAAACATTAAAACACATCTCCTTTGAAGGTATTTATAAAAATGTCAAATGTAAAATTCAAGCATGGCAGCTAGCTTTGTCCTAGATTTGCTTGTTCTCCTTAACTTAGCAGACTGAAACTTCTTTATTACCTAAGAGACTTAAACTGTTTGTGAGTCTATGCTAATAGGCAAAAGAGTAGAATTTTAATTAACTGTATTAATTACTTTCTAAATGAATTAGTATCCCAGAAAAATCATGACAGATAATGAGCACATTACGACTAATAGCCAATAGTTTTATTTAGTATCCACTTCAGAATAACTCTGCCCAGTTAAGTTTATGTGAGTGGGAGAGAATTTGCTTTCTGATGCCTTGTGCTAGCCTTTTATTTCAAGGGTCTGTGAGACATTGATTGCCGTGCTTATATGCTTATATGGAGAATGCTTTACAAACTGGTTTTGTTGTGTTGTTTATAGACAATGCATTACAAAGTGATTTTTATTGTATTTGTTCTCTTATTTGTTGCCAGGAGGATATAGTGATTTATTTGGCTGGGCTGCAAAGGGTAAATGTATGTTCCTTTTGTTGCAGGTTTTGTATTTGAGCTTTACTTTGTTAGTATCTCAGCTAGGTAAATTTTTCTAAGTGCATGTTTCTTGTTTATTTTCCCAATGTATCTGATGCAGGACAGGCAAGCCCCAAAATTAGTGCTTAGCCCGGGATGATTCTTGGCTTAGCCCAGGCAAGAATTAAAGGGCAAGCCAGTGGTATTAAACAGCGACTTTAATTGAAGTGGCAGTGTACAGCAGCGGCAGCAGCAGCAGCCGAGATACTGCTCTGTGCGGAGTAGCGCTACCCCATAAGCATTGTGCCCAGAATAGCAGTTCAGAAGCAGTTGTGCAGTCATGCTTATATGTACTTTTAATTATATGCAAATTAATGGGTAGTTATGCAGAAATTTCTAGGAAAAAGATGGTAACTTCTGGGTTGTCAGGCCATTGTTATGGGAAGGGGTGGTAACTTTTGGGTGTTGCCATGGAAAGATGTGGTAACTTCCAGGTGTTGCTGTGGCAGTGGTAAACAGACACAGCACACTGGTGGTGGGCTTGGCTTATGGAAATTTGCTTCCGTCTGGGACCTGTTTTAGCTGGTACTCAATTTGATCTGATGTCCAAGACCCGCCTCCAAAATTGAATCCCACCTCCCTACCTCATTCCTCCCTCAGAGATTAGATACTCCTCCGTAATCTTAAGAAGGCTACACAAGGATAGAGATCCGTCTTCTGTAACTGCTTCCTGCTGAGTTTACGGTGTAGGCCCTATCTAGCACCAGAGAAGTGAAAATCTCTGGATAACTGATAGGGGCCCAGAGACAGGATGAGTTGGAAGCCTTGTGCTAACATTTTCCTTACCTGGAACTGTTTTAAGACAAAACAAAATGAAACAAAAGAGGTTAAACAGGCAAGGACCAAAAATTAGTAACAAGACAGCCTTCAAAGGTCCTAGAAGAGGTAGCTAAAAGCCGGTTGAAACTTTTGAAGGCACTTTTGATAGTTAACCAGATATAGTTGCAATAAGTGCCCTGGTTGTATCTGTAACCAGGTAGTTTACTTATAGATCTCTTGAATGTTAATCTCAACCTGTCTGGAGTCGTTCATATATGTGCAGCAGGTTTTATTAATAACTGCACATGCTCTACCTTGTTCAGCTAGTAAATAGTCCAGTGCTAGTCTGTTATTGAGAAATACATTTGCCAAAGAGTCTAGGGACTCTTGAATTCTCTTTAGTGCATGACCTGTGTTGGTGGCTAAGGATTCTAGGGTTTGAGTCAAGTTGTTTAGGGTTCACTTGTGGTAAGCAAAGCCACCCAAGGGTACTGCTGCCCTGATTCCTGCCAGAATTAATCCTATTGCTTATTTACTTCTGGTGTTATTTGGGTCTCATGACAGTGACCCCTGAAGGGGCAAGAGTGGTCAACATACATTCACCTCAGTTCCAAGTTTTGATACATAAGGGAAAGCTACTCCTAGAAGAGCAGATGTTGACTTTTAACTATTCAGAATTAAAAGACAAAGAGCAGATGACTACCTGGGGAATCAGGAGTGGTTATGGGGTGTGACTTCTTCCCATTCATGGCCACAAAGAAAAATGAGCTGAATTGGGGCACAAACGGAGACCCTATGGGGTGTGATCTTTATTCTTTGTTGCCAACTTGAGTCTATAGAGATACTTTCCCCCGTTCTAATAGGGGTAGTTGAACAATTATTTTCTGAAAGAGGGTGGCACTGCCACCTTCCCAGACTAGGTAGTTAGTTGTTTTCCCCTGTATATTCTAATCCAGGAAAAGCCACCATATATAGTCTCCTTGTTTTCAAGTGGAATCCCATTTACCTCACTGTGGCATTGGTATGTTGGCAGCTAGAGTTGGATTCAGAGCATTGCAGGGAAACTTCTGCTTTAGTGTCCTTAACACAAAAGGTGCAGAAGGTAGAATCGTGAGTGCACTGGAGGTATACATAGCCAACTTCCCAGGTCCAGGTAATGGTGGGAGGTTCAGGTGGAATTTGTTCAGTAGGGAGAGTTTGTTCCACTTAGCAAGTAGGGGTTTGGGTATTTCAGGATTGCTGTGGTTAGTTAGGCAGTTTGGCGGACATGTTTGTGAGATTTTTCTGGATAAGCCAGAAGATTGAAATCTTTATCCTGGGGATGTTGATGACAAATCTAGCAACCATGAAGGTGGTGCCCTGATGCTATAATTTTTGAAACATTTACTGTAGAATTATGTTTCTAGCCACACCAGCTCAGGGTAATTGGGAGAGCAAACAAGATTAATAGTGACAACATGATGTCTGCAATTGGGCCTTAGCATGGCCTCTACACCCAACAAGGACAAGAGCGGTGTTTCCTGGGAGGTTGGCTAAAGTGATTGAAAAGAAGTATTACACTATTTTGCTCCCCCACTGCTCAAAAGGGTTCAAGGACCGATGAGTACCCACTCACCTCCACTCTTGTCTGGCCCAGAACATCCCCTGGCTACAAGTTTCCTGACTCCAAGTCCCCTGGCCACAGGATTCCCACCAAGGGATACAGTGGACCTGGAGCAGGCAGCATAATATCTTACCATCGGCACAGGTGAAAATAAAATCTTTGCCATTAACATTGCATCCAGCACCTTCTGACAAAAAGGAGGAATACAGAACAAAAATCAAAATCCATAGCCCCCCAACAGACTGAACAGATGCTCCCTTCCTGGCCAAAGGGAATGGATTTGGGCAGGAGCCCCCCAAACACTTCTAAGCAATATAAGAGTCAAAACCAAAAGCCAAAATAGGTTACACATCAAGAAAAGAAACAACAGCATAGAATTAAGCTATACTGGAAGAAAACACTGCTCCCACAGACCTCTAAGACTAAACATTTTAGCATCAGGCCACAACGGCAGTCATAGTTGGAGCAGAAAAACTCACAGGAGCTGACAAAAAAAGCTGAAAGAGTTAAAATGAATCCGAAAAGCTTTCAAAAGAGTAGATTACAGGATTAAAAAGCAAAATTTCTGGTAATTTAGCAAATCAACATTTTAAGAAAATTGAGTTTTAACATGTAGACCATTCTTTTATTTATTTATTTTTGAGACGGAGTCTTGCTCTTTTGCCAGGCTGGAGTGCAGTGGTGCGATCTCTGCTCACTGCAACCTCCGCCTCCCAGGTTCAAGCGATTCTCCTGTCTCAGCCTCCCGTAGCTGGGACTACAGGTATGCGCCACCATGCCCTGCTAATTTTTGTATTTTTAGTAGAAACGGGGTTTCACCATGTTGGCCATGGCCAGGGTGGTCTCGATCTCTTGACCTAGTGATCCACCCGCCTTGGCCTCCCAAAGTGCTGGGATTACAGGGGTGAGTCACTGCACCCGGCTAGACTGTTCTTTAGCAAGTGTATTATAAACAATTTCCTTCTAATTATGACAAGTTTAATCATACACAAAATTTCTTTTATAAAGTCTCCTTTATGAACCTTGTCATGACATAACACAGACCCTCTACAACATGCTTGAATTTTCTGACT